ACTGCCTTGATGGTCAATTCTGCAGTTCCAAGTTGAACCAATGTATTGATTTGTATAGATCTCTTATTGATATACAGAAAGTCCAAGACTCTTGAATGCTAAATCAAATCCATTATAGTCGCACAAAAAACGTAAACCAGATACTTTGAAATAAATTAAATATATTTGACTGGAAATGTTTTCGAAAAAAATGAGCTATTTGTACATTTTTAGTATTTATGAGTTGAAAAGTTTCATTGTATTCAGGGGCGGGTCTGGAGAGATTTAAAAGTTTCTTGAAAGTTTCTGGGTCTGAGTCTCAAATCTTGGGTCTGAGTCCCTCTTCATGCATAGTTGGCTAGTTGGATGTCTTCTCGACCGTTTAAGTACATGTTAGCTTGAGTTTTTCTAATTTTAAGAATGTATCATAATTTTTGTTTCTAGTTTTGTTGTTTTCGCAAACTCGCCCCGGGTTGACCTCCATAGACCGAAAATGCTAATCATACAATTTCATACACTTAGTCTATGGAAAAATGCTAGTCATACAAATTTCATAATTTTTGCAAAATGAGTTTAATCAAATCTCAAAGGTGTTTTATAGTTGTTTTGGTATCGAAATTGGTATCTCTTCATAAAAAAAGGGAAAAAAAATGGTCTGAAAAAAATGCTACCCATACAATTTCCATATATGGAAATTGTATGATTAGAATTTTTTTTTTAATTTTTTTTTGTGAAAAAAAAGCTTTAAACATTCAATTCAACTGCTGGCAAAACATTTAAGCGTTTTTTGGGCTGCTACGACTGAAAACTTTGACTTTTTTTATTTTTGTTTTCTGAAAAAAAAACACTAGTCATACAATTTCCATATATGGAAGCTGTATGACTAGCATTTTTTTTGATGGCGACGACAAAAATTTTTCTAAGTATTTTTGAAATTGCCCCCAAAAACTTTTTTTTGTTTTTTTTTTCAACTGCAAATTAATTTTCGTATTCAAACAAGCATTTTTGAAAACAAAAATTTTGCATGCAAACTTTAATTTTTTGTGTGTATAACGTAGTCCTGGATATACTAATATTGGATTTTTTTTCCTTTTCTCTTCGTAACTTTTTTCAAAAACGCTTAAAACTCCTCTTTCTTTTGTATGACATGTTTTTGTATGCCTTGATCAATGTCTGGTAATTTAAACATTCAAATTTTAGAAATAATCATCTTTGAAAATTTTTGCCAAAATTTAAAAGTTCACTACTTTCGTTATGTTAATTGTCTGAGACAGAAGTAACACATATCTGGCTGTTTCCAATGCATTGTTAATGCGAGACGGCTAAACCGTTGGTTACTACGTTTGAGTAATCAAGGTTCATGTCATTGTGTTCGGTTACGAACACAGCCAAAAAATATTGAGAAAGTAAAACGTAAAAAATCAATATTTTTGGTTTATGGAAAAATGCTAGTTATACAATTTCCATATATGAAAAAAATACTAATCATAGACCTTTCATGCAATTTTCTGTACGTATGGAATTGCATGGAAAGTGTATGACTAGCATTTTTCCATATATGGAAATTGTATGACTAGTATTTTTGGTCATCCCGGGGCATTAGTCTTCATGTCTTGATTTTATTTTTATGACTTTAATTTAAAACTTATTTCTTGTTTTCGTTTCTATCAAGCGGACAAGATTTGAAAAATGGGTAGCCTTGTTTCAAAAAATCTGGAAAAAAGGAACACAATAAAACTTAAATATCGATAGTGCTGTCGCAGCTAGCGGGCTCTATGTATCTGGCCTGCTGTTTTAGTATTTCTACAAATCATAAGAACCTTGCATCCAGCTAGAAGTTTTTTTGCGATCTTGCAAAGTTATTTTATCTTGGAAGGTAAGGTAACCATTGGCTATCAACTAATAAATTAGTCATGGTAGATGGCATCTCGGTGTCATCTGCCGCCTCAGGTGGCTACAGCCAAAGGGATCACATCTATCTCACGCACAAAAATAACCCAAGATAGATAGAAGGAAGTAGAGTCAGAAGCATATAAAAATACATAATCTGTCTAATACAAAAAAGAAAATCTAATACAAAAAAGCATAATTTGTCAAAAGATTCAAAAACATCCGAAATGTTAGAAAATTTTGATCAAATTTTTTTGAACCAAAAATGTCCCAAATTGAACCAAGAAAGTTTTTTTTCGGAAAAGATTTGTTCATCCTCATTTTCTGCTGTTTCAAACTGTCGACGTTTAATGGGACTAAAACTACCTCGTAAATTATTTCTCCACAGGAAAGGAAACACCAGAGACATTTTAAGGAACTAGCTGTACTTGCAAGCATTAATAACTCTTGCCACTTAAATTCAAAAACTCTCAATTTTTTTTGAAATTGCAAAATGTGAAACGTATGCATTAATCTCTATTCTTATTTAGGTTCCAAATTGTCATTAAATACATGCCAAAAGCGCATCGCCTTTTTGATCATTGTGAAAATGCTCATTGACCTTTCGAAACCAATTCCAGTTCAACTTCTGAATCTGAGTTTTAAATCGTAAGTTAGCTTAGAATCATATCCTAACTTAAGTGTCTTGTAATCTAGTCTTAGTTTAAAAGTCTACACAACCTTTTTTAGTAGAAATACCTTTGCTTGTACATATACTTAAACAAGTCTTAGTTTAAGTAATCTTTCAACAGTCTTAGCGTGATTTTTATCCCTAAGTTTTTATCATTTTTTGACATGGTGCTTCCGAAGAAACCAAAGCTAAGAGGATTAGAGTTCTTTTAGAACAACTCATCCATCTAAAACAATCAAGGTTGAGAAAAACGGCCCGAAAGTTTCTACAAAACAATCATCGCCAAAGACTCCGTCGACTTGAAAATGTGATAAACACACCGTCTCGGCCTATTACCCAGTCCCTGAAACAACAAAACCCTCCGAAGACCAAACCCTTCGGACAGATAAAGAAGATAGAAACAGACAAGCAGTCCAGGTATACAACGAAGAAGTGCGAACGAAAAAAAAAACAAAAGATAATTCAAAAAACAACGGTTAACAAATCGGAAACCTTGATAAGAAGATGAAACCACAACTGTACCTAGCTCTATGAAAAGAAGGCCAAAAGTGTTTCACACACAAAAACTTGGAAGTATTATAAACTACGGTTACAGTGACTACGAACCTAACATACGAAAGATACAAAATGATCAAGAGTCAATGGCAAAATTTTATATAGCTTTTTCAAAACTGGCCTGGAACTGTAATTTAGGAGATCTAGAGACAGAACTAGTTAGAGTTATTTTTATTACTAATTTGAGAAACGAGGAAGTTCAAAAAATATTTTGTATCGAAAACTTTTTTTCTAATCCACAAAAAGGCGCGAAGATAAACCAAAAGTTTGTAAAATATTCTGTAAATAGCTCTGTACACAAATCACATTATGTAAAAACCGAACCGATTCTGAGTATTATAGAAAATGCAAAATGAAGAAATTGAGGCCACCAATCCAAGAAGTGACATCGCACATCTTGTCCGGCGAGGAAGGGAGCCTGTAATGACTCTGGCCGCAAATGTCTTTTCGCTGAACATAGTAGAAGTACCGCCAGGACGCAAACAAACGTGGTAGAACAAAACTCAAGCTCATCCAAAAAAACCCACCGGGATACTCCGCAAAAAAACTCGAATTTGAGGTGGACCTAAAGCAATTTCTAGTCTGAGCAATGGCATCGATAACGATGATGCTATAAGGGACCAGGTTGAAAAAAGAATAATATAGCCCATGAAGGAAACGGGTTAAAAACACTGATGGTTTCATTGAGAAATTTTATTCCATTCTCCACAGAAATCTAAATTGATTCAGAAAGCCCATCTCTTTTATGAAATGAAATCTGCTCAACGAACTTGTTGCAGCGCAAATGTAAATATAAAACAAGAGCACAATTGCATATACACTCAAATGTAAGCGAGAGTGTAAGTGCATATAAAGTTGAACCAAAATGTAGATGCATATAGGGACAGTAGCCAAGCGTATACAGGGTGCGTCCCGGCGGGTTCGGCGCCGGTTCGAATCCCGACTAGGTCATTTCCTTTCTAGAACTCGAATATGCACCGAACTTGATGGGATGCTCCGTAACCAGGTTCGATCCCCCCCAAAACTTATTTTAACCGTCTTTTCGCTCTAATTTGGTTCAGCCTTGATTAAGGCTGACCGTTAAAATAACAATTTGTCTCAAGGACAAATACTGGCCATTTTTGCAGCTTGCTTTGAGTTATGCAGTTTTTTGTGGCTGATGTTACCGATGTTAACAGAATTTAAAATAAAAGACTGATTCCGAAAAAACGAAGCGAAAGACAAAATTACAAAGAAGGCCTATCAAGGATTCGGAAGCACAATCAATATTATCGGGATAGTTGTGGTAAGGATCCAATCAAAAGAATGGGACCCTAAAAGTCAAGTTTTATACGTCTTGCCAAACCTGGGGATAAAAGTAACCCAACAGCAAGTCGCAACCGCACATTTGCTACCACTGATAGCTCCCAAGAAAACTCACGTCGTGACAGAGGTGAACCACTTCAAATTCGAATAGGAAATTCCTTCCATTTCAACAAAGTACACACCTCAACAACGTGAGTACAAGTTCAAATTGTACATTTCGAATAAGCTCCCAGACTTTTTATCAGTGAGAGGCAGATCAGAAAATTTTACTGTGAATACATATATCAACGAACCAGAAAAACAGATACAGGTAAAAGAAAAGCGTATACTTATACACCTACTCCCAAAGGTTGAACACTGTATCGACAAAACACTCAACATTGGCCACAGAAAAAATTTCTAGATGTTCCAAAGAATGTTTCACATCCTCAATCGTTATAACAGCTAAAAGAGATACATCGATTATATTAGCACTGATTTTGAAACTGCTTAGTAAACAGAATTTCCGTAAGAGGCTTCAAAAGCTCAATTAGTTCGAACTATTGACTATGTCGCTTCAACAACTAGTGGTCATGAGGAAAAAAATTCGGTTTTCATCAAAAAACTTATTAAACCCCTATGGCGTGATTACACTTTCAAGAAAAGCAGGTAACCATTATAACTCAAAGGCAATTTTAACCGAGTGGGAGGAAAAAAACGGGCTTATATTCATTTGAAACAACTTTTTATGGAATAGCGGACATGCAGACAAATTTCAGCAAAAAGTACACCGTTTAACCGAAAAACTACCCAAAATAAATTGTTTTTAGAGGACAAATAGTAGCAAAAAAGACAATTGTAAATCGGTTGCAGACGTTTTAAAAACTTTAGAATTCTTCGTCGGTTGCGACGAATAATGAGCCATAAAATGGGGAACAAGCAAATAAACAGAGTGGCCCGGAATCAATGAAGATCGATGCCCGGAAACCATCACCATCCGATGCCATTCGTAACCTAAAAAAATACCAAAACGCATAGGGACATTAGATCGTTGAGGGGTTTATTCAACCCAATCAAAAAAAAATTGTTCCAAACCTAGTATCTCTGTTTAGAGCTTTCAGTCAGAGGAAGAAAATTAAAACAGTCATTTTAGCCTAACTTATCATATATACATCAAACGGCGTTCGAGAAAATCAAGAAAAAAAATCTGTAACACGGTAACAAATCGCCACTATGATAAAAAAAATTGAAAAAAGGTAAAATGCGATGCATTTCATTTAAGTCTGGGCGCTTCCCTTGAACAAGACCGCAAGGGAATTTGGAGTTTAATAACGTTAGCAAATAGATTTTTAAACATAGCCGAAATGAAAAATAGCACCAACGATCTCGAGCTTTTGAGATTAGTATGCGAACTAGACCATTTCAAGAACTACCTGTAAGGCCATCAATTTCCAATTCTCACGGTTCAACGGGGCATTACTTGATAACAATTATACAAAAACGGATCAATCCCGTTCAACCCGCTTGCCAAATAAACTTCTACCGAACAGTTTTTCTGTTAAATATCTTCCGGGTAAAAAATGAGATTTTCAGAACACTTGTCCAGACAATCATTAGGCAAACCCGTTCTTGTAACTTTTGACGACGAAAATTTTGTTATCGTCTCGGTAAATCACATAAAATTTCTACTTCCAAATATTATGCCTAGATTCAGCAAAAAAAAATTCATTGCATCAAAAATACTGCAACGTGATTGCTCAATCTGTTAACAAATTCTTAACACAAGAAATTGAACCTGAGAATGGAACTGTGAAGGATGCAGATTTTTTGTACTATCATTCTAAAAGTTCAGTGTGCCAAAAATCTCATTCACGACAAGAAGGCTGCTCTCCAAAAGGACCAAAGATTTGAACTGATTTTGAATGAAGTTCGCAATTTCTGCCAAAAACAAAACATCAAGTGTGGTATTTAGCACAGTGCGTGACCACAGAGCCACAGTTTTAGTCAAATGGTTAATTAAAACCATCGAAGAACAACTTTTTGCCACAGCACAGAAAAAAGCTCAAGCCTACTCTAGAAGTTGCACAATTGAAAAATATGAAATACGTAAAACAACAACTGTAGCACAACAAGCTCTAAACTGCTCACATTTCGAAGCTCACTTTGATAGAACACCTAACATCATCTGGCATAATCTTGAGAAAACTCCAACCTCGATAAATCTAGATTGGAACAAAACTAGGTTAGAAACAAATCTAGGTTATGTATAGATAAAAAAGAAAAATGAGGAGCAGAGACAGACGCCATGATTCGGACATTCCCTACGACATTAATGATGGACATATCGACGAAGACCCATTTTAATCAGAGGACGTTGCTAATGCAACGAAATATCTACCAACCAGCTCGTGCTCTCCAGTCAAGGTTCTATCACGTGCAAAGGAACGAAAAGCGTTAGGAGTAGCAAATCCCGTACTGAATGTCCCGACGAGAAAAACCCTTATTTATAGAAAAGTTCAGAAAAGAATAAGGGCTGAACCGTGCTATACAGAGCTTAAAGAAGAAACAGTGGGGGAATCAGATTATACTACAAACCTTAAAGGCGATCAACTAGTCCGCAAATCTGATTTATCGGTGAAAAGATCAACAGAACCAAAGAAAAACCCAGCTTATGAAATTATATGCCAAAAAAGCCGAGCAAGCAAGCTAGAAATGTAAAATTTAAGAGCTCAAAGATGACACAACCATCATTTTCTCAAAAAAATCTCCACCAACACGGAAAACATCAGAATCTCAAATCAGACACAACAAAAGATCTCTTCGAAATAGACAGCCACCGCCCTTGCTGGGCGAGAGAGTATTTACCAATTTAGTAGAAGAGTCAGACTACAAGCCGGCGGAACATAGATCAACGAGCCTTAAAACCCCTCTGATATCCAGCTTGGAGGCGATCTAGTAGAGATGGAAAACCCACCCGACGAGCACTCCCAATGAAAAATCAACTCTAGTTATCACTGACTGGATGACGTCAGTGATTAAAGCCACGGATGAACTTGGATGCTCACTATTTCTGGAGGAGCTTAGACCGCATCTAAAATAACTAAACGAGATACCACCTAAAAAATTAAAATTTGGAATTCACCTGTAAAATATTTCATTAACTTTAGTATTTTTTTCTTTTTTCTTGCTTATCTGAAAAATTTTCGGACCCCACTTTCAAATTAGCAACAGTTTGGCTGTTACCTTTGATCTTATTTGTTTTTGCTAACCGGTTTTATCATTTTATCATCCTTATTTTCATTGGAGTTTTGATTAATTTCAATTGAATGGACAGTTATCACAAAATCATCACAAAGCTAGTTTCCAAAAATTCCCATTACGGCGCTAAACCTGGTTAGTTCTCATCATCTCTTCTGACCATCGGGCGTCTGCCTTGGCTGGAAAACTTATTAGCATATTCCGCAGTCAAAAATTTCCCAAGTGCTCTTTCAAAAGCTTTTCGAGGGTAAAGTGAACTGTACGTATTCACCTCTAGTCTTTTCTTACGTTCTAAAATGTGATAAAAACAACTGCCTCCAGAATTTTTCTTATTTATCTTCCTCATTTTCACAAGATTCTTGATTAATGTCAGTCGAATGGACAGTTATCACAAAGTTATCTCAAAGCTAGTTTCCATAATTCCCCCTTAGGCTCTAAATATAGTGAATTATCATCATCTCTGCTGACCATCGGGCGTCTGCCTTGGGTGGAAAATTTTTTAGCATATGTCTCAGTCAGAAATTTCTCAAGTATTTTTTCAGAAATTTTTCGAGGGGAATGAGAAAGGTATGTATTAACATCTGTTCTTACTTATGTTCTAAAATGTGAGTAAAATACCTGCCAAAAGCGCATCGCATTTTGAACTTTTGTGAAACTGCAAGTTGTTCTGTCGAAACGAATCTCAATTCAACTTCCTAATTGAGTTTTAAATCTCTAGTTAGCTTAGAGTTTTATCCTAACCTAAGTGTTTTTTAATCTAGTCTTAGTTTAAATGTCTACTAAATCTTAGTTTGTAGAGACACCCTTGCGTGTACAGATCCTTAAACTAGTCTTAGTTAAAGTAATCTTTCAACAGTCTTAGCGTGATTTTCATCCCTAAATTATTATCATTTTTGAACGCAACTCGTTTAAAGATTAATTGCAAAATTTTGTTTAAAGGCTATTTAGAACAAAAATATCCAGGCGTTTGTTTTACAAACATTGAGCCGTGGGAACAAAAAAACTGGAACAAAAAACAAATCATCAAAACGAGACCTACTAAGTCTCTTTTTGCACGCGCGGCAAGCTTTTTTGATCCGATCTTTGAAATAAAGTTTAACATTTTGGTTGGTTGTGGTTTTTTTTCTGTGATCTTCTGATTTTCAAATAAATTTTTTTTTCTGAAAAACATTGAAGCCCAGAGCTCTTTTTTGAAGACATTTTTTACCTGTGACTATTTTAAATTAATCACGTCTTTGAAAATTAGAGCGCAATCAATCTCTAATGCTTACATTGTTGACAAAACCACCGTTTATTCAAAAAAGTAGCTTATTAGCTAAGGCTGGCCGAAAAGCACTCAATTTGTGATATTTTATCTAGCTGTGGTAACTTATCTTTGAAAAAATTAAAATTTGGTGAAGCTCAAAGTATTAATTTATCATTTTACCAAATTTTGACAGAAATTAATTAGAGCTTCTAAATTTTTGCGCAGATTTCGAACTGAAATTAAACAGTCCTCACAATCAATTGTCAAAAACTAGGGTTTTAAATAGGATTCTAACTTCTAGAAACTTTGTAAAACTTGTGACCAATTTTTAGCGTTTTCGGTTTCTAGTTAACGAAGATTACTTGTTTCTTTCGAGGTCTGGCCAGGAAGAGGCAACCTCCGATTCGAGTTATGAAGCAGACAATTGGATTTGACAATAACCCATTGTGATTTGTCGAATAAATATTCCATGGGTTTTTAAAATGTTCGTTTCAAACTTGGTTAGAATTGGGTTAATTTCGAACCACAATGCAAATTGGATCAATGTTCGAATGAACCCGGAGATTGAGCAGCTTAAAATTGTCGGGGACTATCATCAATTTTTTTTGCATAAAGCGCCTGAATTGATCCAGAAATTAATACACATTGGAATGAGTTTTGCTATTAGTAGATATAGACTCAAAATATATCACCTGAAACTTTACATTAGATTCAGGGAAGGCTTTCAAAAAATTCCATCTAAATTTAAGTCAACTCTCTACAAGACAATCAGAATATACGGAACAAATTTAAAACGCAAACATAAGAAAAGAAAAAGGCCACAAAAATGTATGCTCCTGATTGTTTTCTAAGTTTTAATAGGTTAAATTATTTGCCTCGCTGCAGCAGTATGATTATGCGCTCTAATGAGAATTCGTTTTGCACAGGGGCGGATCTAGGAGTTTCTCGAGGGGGAGCGGATTTTCAAAAAAAAATCAATATTTTTGTCAACCTCTTTTTTTAGGTCGTTCAAAATTATTTTCCAGCGGCACTTTTTAAAATAATCACCGAAAAAACCGCGTTTTTTCGGCGCGCGCTCCCCCCTCAAAATTAGTATATACTGACGCCAAAGGCGCCTTTAGAAAAATTTT